AAAGTCTTTTCCAGCACCAGGTAGAAAAGGTGCTGGGTACTCTGGAACATTTAGTGTGCAAAGCACATGCATGATCGCTAAGCAGTAGTATCTACTCTTGGGTGCACTGAAATTAATGCCTTTGAACTACTAAAAGATCCCGGTGAAAACACTAAATTTTTTCCTCTGCTCCATACTATTTCCTAAACCTTACTTTATATATACTTCAAACACCTATCAATAACTTGAAAGTTACAATCAACCAGATCAAGATCACAGGCTGTATTTTTTTTCTGCTTTATTACTACCAAATGCCACCACAGCAAATAACTGACCTTGGTTGATGGCAAAAAGCCGCTCCTGCTTTACGGCACATCAGAAGGGTTCCTTGGTAGGCAAAAGATGCAGCAAATATTTGCCAAAGGTAACAGTTTGGGAAATGCTGATCTAGATTCTTGTCTTTGTCCAGTTATTGCCTCTGAGCCCTTAGGTGCCCAGATAAAACAAAACCCTGAATGTTTAATGGAGTGGTTTTAACTTAAATTTTAAAGATGCCTTGACTTGTTCTGCTTTCCATCATTCTACTGAAGTTTCTTCCTGCAAATAGGTTGTCTTCACATTGATTCCCAAGTAGACCAAAGGATGCAGGAAGTTCAAGGATGAATGGATCCCAACTGGGGTAACTGAAATGTGTGATCAAAATGACAGTGTGTAGGCCCCTGAGTTGACTTAACAGGGTTTTCTTGGCTGTCTTCACCCAAAGCAATTAACCTGGTTACTTTGGGAAGCTACTTGGCTAGTTGGGTCAAGTGGCAAATGAGCTCTGTTCTTACTGACGGTGAGTGAAGTTATGGTTTATCCTTGGGCACATGGGGGGTTGGGTGTGGAAGGGTTTTGTGCTTTAATCTGGTAAGCTGCCCAGAATCCCTTGTGTGAGATGGGCAGCTATCTAAATCATATAGCTAAATAAAAAATAAATTTCCTGGGTCTGCATGGTACACTGAATTATAGGCTGGGTTTGCACAGCCTGGGAAAAAACAAACCAAGGGTAAAAGTAACCAAGCTTAGCAAGGTGTGTGAACGTAACCCTTAGGTTTGTAAACACTCTGGTTAAGTGTACTGTGTGGACACAGGCTTAGATTCTTAAATCTTATATTGGACTAGCCTTCTCCTCCCATGCCGGCTAACCAGAGTGCTTTCAATCAGGGACTAAGCCGTGTACAAAACATACACTGACTCTTTCTGTATCCCACTTTGAGATTCTAAATTAACCAGGCAAGTTTCATAATATTAATGATAGTCCAAAACCTTTTTGGGACATCTTGCTCAAGAAAGGGAGTTGAAGAATTTTGAAGCCTCTTTGGTCCCCTTTGAGTTGGCCAATCAAGCTATTCCCTCTAATAGGGATTTGGAAAGCTCTGTTGAATCAGTCTGTTCAAGAGCTTACCTTTGCAGATGTACAGAGTGTCATTCTCTGCCTAAGCAAGTAGGCTAGGATTAAGACTTTGTCATCTTTGGATTCCAAGAAAGAAAGGGTAGCAAAACAAGAGGACAACTTTGGGTTGGAGTGGGGAGAGACGGGAGAGACCTTAATTTCTGCCCAAGTTAAACTACAATTCATGCCGGCCTTCTGGACCACAGCAATGACCAGGAGGCTCTCTGGGAGTATGCAAAGGGTTTTTGATACTCCTCACACAGCCCTCGCCCCCCAGCAGTTTGGAAAACTTTCCTTCTGGTCAGGTGTCAACGCCCGAGGGACCGCCAGCCTTGTCTTTCCAAAGCCAGCGCAAAGCCAGCCCGGCCAAGCCGGGACTGGGGCAGGACCAGGGCCGGGATTCAACGCTGGGGGGTGGGGGTGCCTCGGGACGGGCTCCGCAGCCACTGCAGAGAGTGACGCATCCCTCCTCCGCCTATGATCTT